CAAGTCAGCTCCATTTTTACCAACCTATCAAGAAAAGGCAGAGTTGATCTGTATCTCACTTGTAAAACACCAGTGTTTTAACACACAGCACAGAGACACAATTTGACTCCAATTACTAAGGACACAGAGGCACTTCAAATCAAAATGGTCCACATAAATAAGGGAGAAATAAGCCAATGTCTCTTGGTTGCTTATCATTTAGCTCACCCTGCAATTTTTCCCTTTCTATCTGTAGGTGACCTCATATAACCTCCATCTTCTAGAGGCCCAGGAATCAAGGCCTGTGGCCCTGTAATTCCTTTACACCCTACTTGCTAAAAGAATCTCAAAGCCATTCCCCTTGCTAAATAAATCTCAAAAGCTTTTTGGGGCATGAATGCAAGTTACTAGTTGCCTTTTGCTACAAATAGTAATATGCACCAATATCTGTGGCCTAGTGTTCTCATTTCACAACAGGAGCCACAAATGACTAGAGTCTGAGGCACAAATTCTCTAAGGATACTTGGTAACATATATGGAAAACTTCTAAAAGAAAATGTTTTGAGAAGAGTGCAATATGCTGCCTCCATTCTATTAGCTCTAAGATCAACTAAGCATGCTCTATTAACAATACCATCAGAATGTGATAAGTGAACGTAGAAAGCAATTCCTGGGTGCTATTCCAGATACAGAACCACTTTCTGGCAAAAACTGCCAGGATTTTAGACTAAGCACGTATCATGAAAAGTTCATTTAGATTGTATATGCATTTGGAAAAAATACTTAATTTCAAGGATGCTGTTTTCAGATGTTACCTACCATGAATCTCCAAGATAAGATACACTACATATGCATCTGAAGACTCTTAGAAACTAACAGGAACAACTTGAAGGACAAAAGAACTTTAATCCAAACAGAAAATAAAAATAAAAATAAAAACAAAAATCTTTAGTAGACAACAGCTGATTTTAGTCCAAATCTGAGTTTCTGTTGGATTCTTGACAGTCTGTAATTCTAACTTTAACTCAATCTACCCCCAAATCCCTGTAAATTAAATGTTGCCCAAACGTGTGAAAAAGACATTGTCAAAAGCTTAACAGGCTAAAGTGAGCTTTTGGTCCTGTAAGGGAGAAAGGCAAGATATGGATTAAATTAACTCATTCACACTATAGAAAGCTAGCCTAAGAAGGAAAGTTGCTGCACAGCCCTCATGGCTCAGTAAGGTTTTAATGGATGTATTTGTTTGTTTGTTTGTTTGTTTGACTTGTATGCCGCCCGCACTCTGCAAAAGTCTCCGGGTGGCCTCCAACATCAATTAAAACAGTTCAGTTAAAAACAGACACTAAAAACAAATAGTCACATCCATTCTACAAAAGCAAAAATAAAAACGCAACAATCTACAAAAGCAATCTAGACCCATTACTCTATTAATTAAAATTAAAACCTTCAATTAAAAAATTTCTGGAACAGGAAGGTTTTAAACTGGCGCCAAAATGTCAGTAACGTCGGCGCCAGTCGGATGTTGTTTGGGAGGGCATTCCAAAGACCAGGGGCAGCTGCCAAAAAGGCCCTCCATCTACAGGCCATTCCTCTCATCTCCCTGAGGGATGGCTCTTTCAGGAGGCCCTTCTGGCTAGATCTCAGTAGCCGGGCAGGTTTATATGGAAGGATTAGAGTGATATTTATTGCTATGGAGCTGCTATTGGAAATGGTTCTCTGTAAGTTTTTACCATGTGGGTTAGTATCAACAGTTTGGGGCAGATTCTCAGAATGAGTTCTGGAGACCACAAAAAGAAATAGGAGAGATGACAGTTGTTGAAGAAGACAGAGCCCAAGTCACTCCAAACAAAAAAGCTGAAACACAAGAGACTGTCTGCTTCTCCTAACGTTGCCAACATACCTGTAAGGCAAGCATTAAGTAGCAAAAGCACACCATCTATTTATCATGATTACAGATTTTAACCTGTCAAAACATAATCAGTACCATTCATAAGAAACAAAGCTTTTACCTCAGATAAGCCTAGTATACAATAGCAATTATGGTTTCAAGTAGTTGTTAGCAACAAGTACTCCTTGGAGAGCCTGTATAACATAGCAGCCTGGAAACTGAGCTATGAATAGGACATCTTTGGTTCTGGTCTCCTCTCTACCATAAACTATAGGTTATCTGAGGAATGTCAACGTCTCTCAACCTTACTGATATTAATCATGTCCTAACTTACAAGACATAACCATCTTGCACTTCTAACTAACATAACAGAGCATACTAATTACAATGCGCTATATAAATGCAAAGCATTATCATGCTTTCTGGTGATGATCTCAGGCTTCCGCATTGGGAGTAAGCACACAGTAGGGTTCACTTTAAAATAAATACAGTATGTGTAAGACTGGCTATGAGACCCAGCAGAAAGAATCTCAAGAATTTATGGTAAAGCTGGGACAGAGCCACACTTTTTTTAATAGTAGTAACAAGGGCTGTCCCCCTTTCACACTCAAAGAGACAACAGTGAGATTACTCAACATACTGTCAGAAGGAAGGTTATTAAGCAGTAGTGTCTTGAAGCTGACAAGAGGAATGTTACCTCAATTCAGACAAAAGAATGACAGTGGATTAGAAAATAGAATGGCCTGTAAGGCACAAATTTCTCACTATCCTTGCACTTTACAATATTTGAATAAGACAGTCCAGAAGTTCATCTTGAAACTTAACAGTCAGGTTTAGGATTAAAAACCTATCTACAAAGCTGGTACCATCTCAAATGACTTAAATGCACTAAGCTACGTAACCTGAAACTCTCCTAAGATTTGACTGTCTGATACATGTTTAGTCAAAAGAAACATATGCTGATGAAGGAATAAAGCCTTGTTGTTATCAGATTCATCTCAACAGAGTTGGAAAGAATATTCTGCTCCCGCAAATCTGGCTTTTTGTGAGTACATACTATTGTATTCATGGTACTGAAAGTCAACTTGAATCCAAGACCACTGGTCAGGATCCAATAACTAATATTTAGACAACTTCTGAGACAGCATAATGTGGTGTGGTGGATAGAATGTCAGACACTTTGGACACCTCAGTTCAAATTTCCACTCAGCCAAAGACATTCAGTGGGGAATGTACTCCTTGAACATTTCATACCCCATCCCACCCCACCAAAAAGAAAACAAACAAAAAAACAAAATTATCAGTGTCACGAAATTACATTGGTTGGAAATTGTGTTCTTGTATTCTAAGTTACTTCCAACTTGGAGGCACATAACACCACCACAACTTCAAGCCCAAGCCATTTTATTCAAATATACTAGCCAACAAAATAGCTGCAATATAAAATTAAGGCTAATGATTCAAATGCCAGCCAGGAAAATCAGAGCAGCCACTTCTCTCTGCTAAGACTGCACTGAAAATGATGCCAAAAATCCTGCCTGCCTGTGTCATACTTAGGAATATCATGGTTTGCGATACAGGTCTGTTGCGTATTCTTCCATTGCCTCCAACCAGATAACTTCTTTGTCTGTTTGTGTAATGCCAGAGCAGTCAAATGTACAGAAAGGAAACCTGACCATTACTTTGTGCTGTCATAATCTTGATTTCTACTCATAATATTCAGTTTCTGCCCCAGACCAGAATGCACACAATTGTTTCTTCCTCTAATATGTGTAGTTTGAATAAAGAAAAATATTTCTTAAAATGAAAATCTCAGTGAATTAACATAGAAGAAATTTAAAAAGCAAAATAATGAAAATGAAGTTTCTACTTGTCCAAGCAAGAAAGTAGTGGCTTTTAAAGTGATTTTTATTCCTTATATCAATACTTGTTATTTTTGTCATGTACACACAGGAAAAAAAGAAACTAATATTGTTGTTCAAATGGAAAACTTATTTTTAACAAACAAAAGACAGCAAGAAATGGAATTTACAATAACCAGGCTGCTAACAAAGTTTATGGTAAGCAGAGATGTTTCTCTCCTTTTAAAAGTACCTCAAATCATCAAATTATGGAGGTAAGCTTTAGTCTAGCTATTTTCATTTCTGAAAAACTAGTCATGAGGATGTTTCCAATTCTACCCACCCGTCCTCTGCCTTTGGTGACTGATGCCTACGGGGCACCAGTCACAGGGTTCGTTGCAACAAAGAAAGCTTTCCCAAATTTCATCCCTTAAAGGCAAACATACCCATGAGGATAAAAGGCGGCATGTGAGGCCATCAGAAGGAAAGGTGAGGAATTTACAGCCAGAAACACATGCCTGGAGAGAAAAAAAATTGCATTGCTCTACCATGAGGCTAAAGCCCCAGTTCTAAAGGACAGGATTCAAATCCCTAAGGCAGGGCATAATCCGACGCACCGGGCACAGCAAGAAATTCAAGCACCTGCTGCTGTTAACCTATTAAGGCAACCGGAACGTATCACCTGTCCTCTGATTACCTAGCAAATCTCCAAGCCGTTTGGCTACCGAAACCTTCTCTAAACAACGGTACTGGAGTTTTAGAAGAGGTGGCCGTGTTAAGAGGCAGCTTCTCCAACCACACGACCGAAACCGTCTCTAAACAACGGTACTGTAGAAGAGGTGGCCGTGATAAGAGGCAGCTTCTCCAACCACAACCAACCCCCAACCCCTCCCCCGGAACGGCTACTCTTCCCACTGCCCCACACAGCCCCGAAGCCTCCAACTCTTCGCCTGCTCCCCCAAAGAGCGGCCGGCAGCCCCTCCAGCGGTTCCCCCAAGACACAGCCCAAGTTTCCTCGCAGGCGGCTGGTCCGCAGTCACCACCTCTGGCGAGAGCGGCTACTCCGAGCAGGCACCACACTTGATCTCTACCCACCCCCATTGCACCCCAGTCCCGATGCCCTCCATCCTTCGCCCCCTCAGGGCCCCTCCGAGCCCCCTCCGCCCAGAGGAAGCCTCCCACCCTTCCTCGCCTGGGCTGCCACTAGCGGACTCCCCAATTCCAGCTCCCCATTTACTCGGTTGTCCCTTCCCGGCCCCCGTACACCCCGTCCCTCTCCCGGCCCCACTCACCTGAGTTGGGGGGCTCCAAACCCAGCACTCTCGCCGAGGGGAGGGCCCCCCGGCCCAGCCGCTGGGAGGGGGCTGGGGGGCTCTGGAGGGGGGCTCAATGGCTCCGCAACGGCGGCTCCATCAGCAGCGCCTTCACCTGAGGAGGGACCGAGCCCCCCTCCCCTCCCCGAGCCACTTCCGGTCCCTCTGCTAGGAGACAGGCACGGGGAGAAGAGCGTCGAGAGGCTCGAGTGGTCAGAGAAAGCGCCCAGGGCATCATTTCGTCAGGGGTGGGTGAGGACGAGCACGGAGTACATCGAGCACACGCCAAGAGACTCGTTCCGCTACAAAGCAGTGCGACAGGAAGAGCACCGAGCGAGTCGATGGAGACCTGATAAAAGAAGAGTTGAAGGCGGAGGAGAAGCCGATCCACCACCGAGGCGCTTGAATGGCAGGAACCGTCCGAATGCCTAGTGTATCGATTAGTGCCTTAAGAAGCATCAGCTATCTCCAGTTCTGAGGGGCTCGAGAAGGCAGGGCAGCAGGAAGAACGTCGAGAAGATCGCCCGTCGGAGAATGGACGGGGCGTTCCTTGGAGCCAAATACTAGAGCAATCAGATCTGGATGGGGACGGTGATGGTGGTTGATATTCCTCCTAATAAATTAGTTACCTTTGTCAGTCAACCAGTATGCGAAGTATGGGCAATATATTGCAGTCAGTAGTCTAACATCGACCCGCATTTTCTATTTTTCCAAATGTTAATAAGAGTGCAAACTCGTAAAAATCGCGTCCACAGAAAAAAAAATCTGCTATAACATCAGCAATTTCTCAAATCAAAGAGACCCATAAGGAGGCTGCCTCTTACTCGACAACAATCACAGACAGATGTCCGGCGCACGTCTGAATAGTTCTGCCCAACAGTGTTTGCAACAAGGCGCTGCTTGTCTTTTGACTTAGGCGGCGAGTTCGAGTCACGTTCTGCGACAACAACACAGTCGCGTTCTTCATGACTTACACTATTTTCCATTTCAAATCATTTTTCCTTGGATACGGGACCCACTTATATCACTTAGCTTTTACCGCTAAGAGTCTGAGATCATCTTAAAAGATTAACGATCGTTTTTGTAGCTCCGGGATAGAGAACCTTTGATTCTCCAGATGTTTTAGATTACAACTTCGATAAACGTTTGCCCATAGGCTGTGTTGGCTAGCGCCGCTCGAATTTCTCAGTCCAGAATATCTCTAGACGACCAAACCTTTTCCTCCGCTGCTATAGCAGAGTCAGGACTCCCAGGATTCAGGCAGCATGGCTTTTAGTTTAGCAGAGACATGGCCTCACCTACCTCCACCCCATCCGCTGGAGTTTTGCTCTAAGCTTCATAATCGTTAGAAAGAAAAAATAATGCAGCTTCTCATTTGCAGCATATGGCATAAACTTTTGTGGACTAGAGTCCAAAATGAAATACACATGGTATCTTCGATTTCATGCATCTTGTAAAGCAGGTGGTAGCCCATAAAATATTATGCAGTTACAGATCTGCTTGTGTAAGCCATGCTTAAGATTTTACAACCGATACTTGGGAGGAGTGAGAAATACCAGATACTGAAGTTGGATTTAGGAAAGGAAGCAGGGTTACAGATCATATAGTAAATATACATTGGCTAATTAAAAACATGGTGGCATTTCAGAAGAATATTAATTTCAATTTACAAATACATTACAATAAAGCCTTTGGTTTTGTAGAGCAGGAAAAGCCATGGGTTGTATTAAGATAAATTAGTGTGGCATAACCTGCATTCCAGACAAGAGGCTACTGTCAAAACAATATGGAGAAACAGAATGGTTTCCAGTTGGCAAAGGTATCAGACAGGAGTGAATGCTACCCGTTCAATTAAAATGCAGAACATATAGAGAAAACTGGATTAGATCCATATGAAAGGAGTGAAAATTGGAAGGAAAACCATCAAGAATTTTAGACATGTAGATAATAACATTTTTGGCAATAAAAACAGCAATGATCTTACATTATTACTGAGGATAGTTAAAGAAGAAAGTGTGGAGTTACAGTTGAACATTAAGACAAAAATAATGACTACAGAATAATTACATAATGTCAGTGAGGTCAATGAAGAAATCAAAACTGTCTCAGATTTTCTATACCATATTTCAATCACTATCCAAAATTAATTAAGAAATCAAAATCTTATTCAGCTTTTCTCAGCCATGAGAGTACTAGAAAAGATCCTTAAGACTAGGATGTGCTGCTGAAGGTGGTCGAGATCAATCAGATTGTGGCATTCCTGATTACGAAGTCTGGATGTGAAAGACGAATAATGAAGGACTCGGACAGCAAAAAAAAAAAGTTCATTTGGCAGGTGGTGCTGAAGGAGAGTTTTACAGATATGATGGCTCACCAAGATGACAAATAAGTGGATTATAGATCAAATCAAGCACAAATTCTCATTAGAAGCTAAAATCAAGACCATAATACTTCCAGTGTATCAGGAGACAAGACTCACTGAAAAAGACAATTATGATAGGAAAAGGTGAAGGTAGTAGGAAGAGAAGATCTAACATGAGGTGGAATGGCTCGAAAACTGAAGCCATGGCCCTTAGTTGGCAAGACCTAAGCCAGGCTGTTAATGGTAGGACCTTTTGGAAGTACAGTAATTAATTTATACGGTCACCATAACACAGAAGCAACTTGATATCATATTAATATAGAGAGAATATTTATGGTCACAAACCCCTTTGTTGTTTTTACTGCAATTAATTGTTAACCCCAGGAAATTATTCTAAATTGTGAATGTTTGCGATTGTTAACGTTGCTGCCTGAGCTGAAATATGTTTACTAGGAAATAAAAGCTAAACTGATAATATGGGCTTAATTCTAAATAAATAAATCGTAAAATCATAGCTTTCCTGAGTGAAAATGGATGTTCTGAAGCTCCCTGTGGAAAAGCAGACCTCTAATATACAGCAGGAAGTGAGTGGGTGGGAAAAGCTGATCCTTTTCTGGAGATGGGGAAATGGCTTGGATGAAGAGCAGCAGGTGAAATAACCTCTAATAGCCCTGATTACAATCTAACACTGTGGTACAGTCAGAGTGGACACCCACACATCCCTTCATTGAACCCATGGAGAATACATAACAGCATATTTATTACTCTTACTGACAATTTCCTCATGTACTCTTAGTATCAATGGAGCTTCCTGCACAAGCTATGGAGCGTTTCTGAAAAATCAAGATGAAGGTTTCCACTTCAGCTATAGATAAGTCCCCCGTTAGTAAAATACAAGTAAGGGGAACATAATTTACAGGAGTGCCTTGTTCCTAGTTGTGAAGATGGGTAACAAGTATTAAAAAATTCACATACTGTATAGGGTTATCTATGATGAATAATAAATTTTAAGTTCTCACTTCCTGTCCAGTTAATTTTGTTTTAAAATTCTCTTTGAAGCTAGCAGCATTGTCTGAGGAACACATTAAATTTGATTTTCACTCTGCGTGTGCTAATGTAGCCCTCTTTAGAGCTTACAGCTGATGAATTAGCTAATTAAAGCCCGTTATCTCACATGTAAATAGGACAGAGAGTCAGAGCTGACATGATCCAAATTACCTTTGGCTCTGAGAATCTCTTTGATCTAGACGCAAGATGCACATCAAACACTACACATCTAATAAGGCTGGTCAGGGAACAAAATCATTATTGTCCTTAAATTGTGTCATAGCACCCTTTCGTTCACTTGTGCAGTTATTCTTGCTTTCAATATGATTAATGCATTGGTGCTAATTGGCAGCATTCACCCTTTCCCAAAAATGTCAAGGAGAAACACAGTCCTTTCATCATCTATGTCAACCCATCCCTGCCAACACCCAATAAGGAGATTTTATTCAACTAATTCTGGGTTCAAACAGAGATTTTTGCTGCTGGCCTAGCTCATTTTTATTTGATTCACCTAAGCAGTTCTAAAGATTTCCCCCCCCTCTGGATTTTAGAATACAGTACCTCAAGCCCATGGGTAAGTGTGATGGGTTTTTTTTTGGGGGGGGGGAGGTTCGTTTGCTGTAGCTTCCAGCACAGATTGGACCCCTTCAGGTGTGGATTCAGGTTCAAGGTACATAGCACCTTATTGTGGGAACTTTCAATAAAACTATTTACATAAAGCTTGATATTGTTTATCTCCTCCTTACCCAACGGGGCGAGAAAAGGGTTCCATTCGTGAACAACAAATGGGTTCTCATAACAAGCATCCCAAGGCTCAGGTTGGTCAAGCTGGTCTTAGTCTCTCAGTGTCGGCCCAGATGATGTTGGCAATGGGTGTGGTTGCTACTCTGGATAGTCGCCCTGTCTTGTTCAATCGTTCACCTGGCTTGCAGAAGTCCCAGGTCCCTGAGATTCTCTCCTCTCTGCCACTTGCTGGGCCCTCCATTTAGCTCTCTCTCATCTTTCTCTACCCGGGCTCTCTCTTCTCTCAGCCTGTGCCCCACTCCCAAGCTTCCTTCTCTCCCAGTATGAGGGTCTTGAGCAACAACTGATCTCTTTCTCCTTTCAGCTGCTTCTTTCGGTGCCATTAGTCCTTCCCATTTCTGTACCCATGGATTCTTTAACCAAATCCATTCCCAGCCATGGGGGTGGGGTGGGAGTAAAGGCTTCTCTGTCTTTCAACTTTCACTTTCTCCCACTTCTACTAAACTCCTCTGCTTCACTTTTCTATCCTTTATAGCCACCTTCTCACCAACCTTTCCTTTCTCCTCCTCTCTTGACAGATCCCCCTCCCTTTATCTCATTTGCGCCTTTTCTAACTGTTCCCAGAGCCTTTCCATTTCCCCCAGATCCTGGGAAACTTCCTCCCTCGTAACCCCTCTAGAAGAATCTGCCGGGAATGTCTCTCTGGGTCCAACCAACTCTGTTCCTCTGCTTCTTTCCCCTTTCCTGGTTGGAATGGATAGTGTTTGGGCGAGAGGGGTCTCCATCTTGCCTCCTTTCTCACCGTAAGCTAGATGGAAGACTAAAATATCCCCACCAGATCAACAATGGGGATGCCCGTTCATATTCAAATAAATGATTTAAAACAACCATATCAAGTAATCCTGAAATGCATGCAGGAGTTCCTCTTCACCAATGATGCAGCTGTTGTTGCCCATTCTGCTGAAGACCTCCAACAACTCATAAATCACTTTAGTAAGGCCTGCCAAGGACTTTGGACTAACAATCAGCCTGAAGAAAACACTAGTCATGAGCCAGGGCGTGGACTCACCTCCCCCTATTACCATTTCTAGAAAAGAATT